CTAAGCTTTTGAGTATTTTAAGAGATATAATTATTTCAAGGTTTATGACTGGCTAGTCAAAGTGGCAGGTTTTTATTTCTTTTATATTTCTTCCTCGCTCTAAAGTCTCGAATACATAGACAGAAGGACAACTTGCATAATTATATTATAGATATTCTGTTTATATATGCTTCATTATTTTTACTTTGGACACGCAACCGAGCTATATGTTGTCTCCGTTTGGTTGGAATAAGAAAATTGCAATCCCTATTCTTAATACGGACACGACCCTATTTGATGTGGATAATAATAAAACAAAATGTCGTGGTCGGAACGTTTCGGGGTTCGGTTCAGGGATTAGTTTAATCAGAAAAAAAAAATCCCCAGCAGTAGGGGAATCTTCACGAGGATTAAAAGGATAATCTAATGTTAATTTTAAATATTCGATTCATTGAAGTTCTGTTGACAATAATTTGTCGGAACGTAGGTCTGCGAAGCGAAAGTAAAATACTGTCGCCTAATAACGCCCACTGTTTCCAACCGCTGGAGTGCTAAAGAACCTTTTAGCATATATTTTAATAACAGTCCCACACCGACAGATCTTTAAGGACATTATAATGAAATTTGCAGCTATATCAGTTGGTTTTCTAGCGCTTTAGCTGTCAAAAACAATGTGAGTTATTAAGCAACAGTACCTTAATATATTTATGTCTCATCGCTTGTCATTTTGCGTTAGTCTAACAATCATTCACCGAGGAACTGTATGACAAGGTATGCATTCTTACAGTGGTTTCTTACAATGTTGTGCAACTGTTTGAATTAATTCAGACTCCAATAGTTAAAAAAAGAGGTAGAAAACCCGAAAATGCGTTGACGTAGTCTGGGTCTTTCGTTAAACTTAAATAAAAAGACCGAGCGATAGTAATAGATGCGAGCAATGCAATCAAAAAAATGTCTTTTCATTGCCTTCTAAAACTGCAACTGGATATTAATCCAAAATTTGTAATATAAAATATCGATTGCTTAATATTTTAAAAAATGCAGGTAAGTTACACCGAAGCATATATCTCAATAAGTTCAAATAAAAACAGAGGGTGTTTACGAGGGCGACCGTAGTGCTTTAACGTCAAGTTAATCGCTCGTTTTATTGTTATTGCGAGGAGGTGGCGCGAGTTCGCCTCCTTACAATGAGACGCGCGCGCGTGCCGACCATTAAGCTGTTAGCCTCATATCACGGGGGATGGAACCCATTAATGCACTGTATCACATCATTAATCTGTGTCGCAAAAAATGCAGAACTACTGGCATCTCTTGGCCTTTTTGTCGACCATTAGATTATATTATTACACGAAATATTTATTATCATTATTATAATCTTCATTTGAGTGAGTAGCTCGGTGGCGTAGTGGATAAGCGCCGCGGCACGCGATTCGTTGTCGTTAAGCAACTTTCGCAAGGGTCGGTCACGGGATGGGTACCAAAAAATTATTATCTCGAGCTACTCCGTGTTTCGGGAGGCACGTTAAGCCGTTGGTCCCGGCTGCATTTGTAGTCGTTAAAACCCGCCAATCCACATTGGGCCAGCGTGGAGGGTCATGGCCCATGCTCCTGAACGATCCATAAGGAAGGCCTGAGCCCCTGCAGTGGGGACGAAATAAAGGGCTGATGATGATGAATCTTCATTTTATTATGAAATAAAGCGTCTGTGTGATGCGAATAACTCAAAAACTCCTGAATGATGATCATAAGGTTTTTTCATCAATGCATAATAACGAACAAAGCTATATGTATAACTAGTGGCCGCCAGCGACTTCGTCTGCGTTTTCCATTATTTCTTCGCGCCTAATAGTTGCAACGTGATGTTATATAGCCTAAAGCCTTCCTCGATAAATGGTCTATTCAACACAAAAATAATTTTTCAATTCGAACCAGTAGTTCCTGAGATTAGCGCGTTCAAACAAATAAACAAACTTTTCAGCTTTAAAATATTATCATAGATTAATTGCACCTGTTCCAAGACAGGGCGTATCGCTAATGTTGGTTAAAAAATTTGTTAAAAACTTGGTATGAATAAAAATATATATAAAATTACCTATTTCATAAAATGTTCAACTTGCTCAGTCTAGGACGTAATCGTCTAAATGTTATAATAATTACGGTTCATGATTGTAACGCTTCACTCCTTGTATATTAACCTAGCATAATGGCCATTTAAATCTTGGTAGTCGTTTTGCATTTTAATCTACATTATTTTGTAATTTTGAATATATATTTTGAATTTATTTATCTACCGTAAACTACGTGAAAAAGTTTTAATAAAATCGTTTCTAGAAAAATACATATAATGAATTTAGATTGCTATTTCTTCTTTTTTAACAGTCTATTTTATTAGGTAAAAACACAATAATTATAAAATAACTGGCTTTTAGTAAGATCCATATACAGTAAGGTTATTTAAATAACAAGAATAAGTGATTGGTTATATATTCTGAAACAAATTTTACATGGAAATATTTGAAATTTATATATTTGGAACCTAATTTAGTTTTCATTAGAAATTGTTTAAAAAGGTTTATCATACACAAAATACATACATCTAGTTACATTTTAATTTTCTTTACTGTAATCAAAAGTTTGTGGCTAAAACGGGCTGTAAATATGATGTCGTATTTTAAAATGCATTAGAGACTACACCTTTTTGTCCTTTTTTGAAGTAAGACATATAAGTTTGGTAGACAAGGAGCGTATTAAATTCGATCGGTTGGTGCGCGCGTCGGGCGCCGGCGTGTCGAGTCTTGGTCGCACCCTCGCGACAGCCCTCGTGTTACCTACAACCCCACTCACTGCACACAATATCGATTACCGGACACTGTTCGATAAGAATGGGACTTTATATATCGATATTATTTTATCTACTGTGTTATTAGGGCTGGACACAAAAAATGTTTATAATATGAAGAGGTACCTGTCATTATGTACGCTCTAGTTGTATGTGTGAGGAAGAACTCTATTTTTTAATTAGTTTAAAGATGAATGCAATTTTTTCATTTGTAATCACTTAACTTTAATCAGCATTAGTGAAACATTTACGTTTGGTACTGGGATTACTACCCTAAGTATTCTATAGTATAAAATCTTAGCAATTAATACTGCAGAGCAAGTGCATACAACATAAAACAATGGAGTTCTCTGTTGATAATACTGTCTCTTTATTTTAAAGCTATCACTAAGTTGCATTAAGTCAATATTCTTAATTTGAAAATATGTATTGATAATGTTGCTTTGAGTTAATGTCAAATTTAGTGTCTGTAGGTGACTTATGTATGTTATTAAAAATATATATCTATTCTTCTACTTTCGCATCATAATTTTTAAATCCAAAGATTTCTTTTGAAACACAAAATGTAAATAACAACGAATGACGAGTCCCTTGGCCTAATGACTTGCACGCCGGTTTCAAAGTCGACAGCTCTGAGGAGGTATAAAATTGTACTTTTCTATATTGTCTCTGGCCTAGGTGCTGTGGTAACTGAGTTGTTAAATATTTTGTGATGTACGATGAGACATCATCTCATACTCAGCAATGTATGTCTAATGTTTATCGATATTCGTTTGTAATTTTATCCCAACACTCAACTCAGATAAACATCAGTATCAACGACAGTTTAGTTACACTATAAAACTGACGTTTTCTTCACAGCTTTCCGCAACCAATAGGCCACTTCCCCGTGTGCGACCAAAATCCATCGATTCGCATACCACGGGAGATTAACCTCGGAAACGTTTAGACTCCCTTTGGTTATTTGAAATCCTTACTCTGAATTTCATGCACTATTAGTTCTCTGCTGTAGTCATTTGCGAAAGGGAAAAAGGGTTTCCGTACTAAAACTTATTCGTCGATGTCTTTTCCGTTCGTTATCGACGAAAACTACATGGAATGTATAAAATATTTTCTGTGTGACAAATTAATTTATCTGTTTCACGATGGAACTATCATGTCATGGAAACAAAGTCAGAATTTAATGTCTCATATAACTTAAAACGTACTACAAAAACTCTATAAATAATATTACTTTATAATTAGATTTCTTCAGTTGATTTTAGTTTTTAGTAAATTAGTTAAAATCTTGTTGCTGATCATTGATTATTATTTAAGTTTAAAAAGGGACACTAAAACTTTTTATTTTATTTTAAAGATATACATGAAATATTTCCAAAAAAATATATCATTCATATAATAAGTTAAAATCTAAAAATAAATTTAATTTTCAAAATTTCCCGCGATGAGGTCCCTTCTGCTTTGGAGTCGCCATCCGCATCTTTTATCCGCGTCGCATCATTTTATGCTCCTCTGAAACTAATATCGTTCTATGTATGCATAAGATTGAATTCTCTAAGTTCGGACATGAGTAAAAAGGGCGTGACGTCACGCTCTGTTTGCGGTCACGTGACAACGAGCATAAAATATTTATTTTTACATATTTAATTTAAGCTTAATATACTTTATATTAAACTACCAGAAAAATAAAATATATGTATTTATTTTACTTGACTGTCTACACCCGTTTTATGATATTTTTATTTATAAATTCACCATTATTTATTTACTTATTTTTATTGCTTATTTATAGTTTAAAAATCAAAAACACTTTTAAAAATCATAATCGAGTCATATTCAACAGAAGTGCTTTTGATTGTATGTTAAGGAGTCAGGACTGATGAGCTTCAATGCTTGAAGCATTCAAGGAACAACTTCATTGACAAAAAATATGAAAATGTGGGTGACCCAATCAATTATGAAATTGGCGATCATGAATTACGCAAAAACTACTTTACATAGGATTTGAACTGAGAACGTGCTCCTTTTTTTTAAATGAATCGATTACTTGTGCTATAATTTTCCAAAAAAATTATTCGTTATATAAAAGTTTTCATACCCTAGTTTGATTACAGTATAACAGAAATCATTCGAAGACCTTAACAATCTACTTTATAATTCTAATAGAAAGTGTACCCCGATTACATATGCGTAATAAGTTCCAGTTTTATATTGATGTTTGACCTTGGCACAGGTGACGCACAATATAAACCGTACGTGACTGCCCGACCTGAGATGGCGACTGTGGAACTGGACGGTGATGAGGACTTCGTTGTGGTGGCATGTGATGGACTCTGGGACTTTGTTAGCGAAGACAAAGTTGCCTTAGCTGTGTATCAGCAACTGGCCGCTGATCCAGGTAAGTAGTAATATAATGTGCCTCTAGTGCAATGAATCGGTAACATTAAATCTGCAGTGTTTACAGGTATTGCAAGACTTCGTATAGCTAAAGTTTTGTTAAATAAGGGCAATTGAGGAAGATGTTTTGCCAGACAGGGTCCATAGTGTGACTAATTAAACTATGTAACATTATTTTAAATTATCTATGGAAATTAAACTTGTTGTGTATTGAAATGCTATATTACTAGGGCTTTAGGTAATTTGTATTTTTGATTAAAATTATATTTAAATAAAATAGGAAACCTCTATGGTACTAACTGACGAGCATATCAGAAGAAGAAATGATACACGAACCGCTGTAAACACATTAACGTTAAAATTATTATCTTACGCCAAGGCTTTTTTCTCAGTTTCGACATCTATACTTTTCGCTTTTAAAGATTATTGATTCCTTATTCATTTGGGCCTGCCAAACGATGTCAATGTTATGGTAAAAAAAATGAACGATTGCGAATAAATGAAAAAATTAACCCTTATCTTTAAAAAAACGCGTACTACAGTAAATGTTGGATTTTTTTGCCATTCCTTTTTTAATTGCCCTGATCCTTTCAGTAAATATGAAGCAATTTGCGTTTCGTTTTGGTTAACTTACAAAGTACAGACATTTAAAGTTACATTCAATTGTATTGTAATAATAGGAACACAGTTAAAAACAAAATTTATTTATATTTGGCTGAATAATAAAACCACAATGATGGTTGATTCTAAATATATATTACAATGAATGAAAAATAAAGTTACTTATTTTATTATCCACGCAGTGTGATTTTCTTTTTTATCAATTTTAACATCAATTAGTATGTGATTGGTGAGTACCAAAACCAGCCCTTAACTGAACGGCAGAAATGTTTCTTTAGCCAATTCTAGATATTCAGTTTATTTATTATCTATAATTCTTTGCACTAATAACAATTTCTAATTCGCTGTCACGTCATGCACGATTAGCGTTCGTACACCGATTATAGTCTATCAGGCTGTGTTTTGCATTGCAGTTTTAAATTGGAGGCTAAGAGCTCGATTCCAATCGGTTTTGCGGTTGACCTTGTGTTCAGACAGAGCTGTTTCTATTTGACAATAACACCGTGAGTCACCTCGCTGTGTGTATGTAGACTGTCAGGAATATGAAATTGCATTCAGTCACAACAAGGTCAATGTTTTCCTATTGTGGGTGCCTATAAGGTGACAAATTCAAAAGAATATTGCTCGCACATTCAGAATTGGTTGTTGTCGTTGCATATTCATTGAATCGAATATTGTCTTTGTAACAATTTTGTAATTATATTTCTTATACTTATAGTACTTTGCGATTGTAAGACGGTATAATGACAACGTTTTACGAAGATATTTTTGGCAGACAGCTTTGATTGGCATGCTCTTATTTTATCGTATCGGGTCACATGATTATGACGTGAGCGTTGTTGTGAGAACTGAGTGCTTTTGTTCAGCCATTGCTCTGAGACCCTCGGCAGTTGACATGGTACTCTTAGTATACTTGATACCCTTACAGGCGACGTTGTCAGGGGAGACCTATCAACTGTGGCTATAACGTGGCGCCCTCGAATCTCTGTAAAGTGTACTTAATGGATCACTACCCCTTCAACGATAAGAGTTTTAATGTTTTCAACTGTTTCCTTGTTTTGTAAATATTAGTAAGTACCCAATTATGTTACAAGTCTCTTTGAGTGTTTTGAAAAAGGCTTTTCTCCCCATTGGTCATTTATTATCTCAGTTAACATTGTACGTGGGTAAATGCAGTAAAATGGATTTAATCTTAATAAGCGTGGTTTATGATTATTGCTATTATAACGACTTAATGAATTTAACACATAAAATTAATCTTTTGAAAATAATTAAGTCTCTTCGCATTATAATAATAATGTCATACGAGGGGTATACAACATGTCATAATCCAGATTTTTGACACTTATTAACGGAGGGGATGTTACCCCTCCGAAATGTCAACTTGTATGTCAGTCGGAGATCAGATAATCTTTTAAAATGGCACACAATTATAGAGATCGGGTTGCAGACAAATTACCTCCTGTATCCTGTTGACATCAATTTATTACTCAATAAAGAGACGGCACAGTCAGACATCGTACGCTGCTGATTGGTTATAAAACACCTGTAGATTTATGTTGTCGTTCAGTTACAGGTTCCTTTGTTTGGATGAGACTTGCAAAAACTTAAGACGAGTACAATAAGATTGTATTCTATGAACCGTAACGAGATTGCAGCGATGCCTAGATTTCAGACGGCTGCGGTCAGTCCGAGCCGCAGCCCCACAATATTGTGTCGTAATTGCGTCGGAAGTGGGGAAGTGGAGAAATTGGATACTTTGTTTTGCCCCCAGTTGTGAGCCCCACCGCCCCTCACCCGCTTCGACGAAGCCTTTCTAATCGTTGGCTCCGTGAGATTATTTTATATTACATCTGATTGGTAATCAGATGATGAGAACAGATGAGTGTCATTCAATTTTATCAGGTGGTTAAATAAAATGTAACAAATGCTTAATTTAATATGCATTTTAATGAATCCAAATCCCTCACGAACGCTTTTCAACTTACTCGGGTGGATATTGGGGCTGCCGTTTCATCGGATTATGTGATTTACGAATTTAAATTATCACGGGTTCTGTACCTTTTCAAATAAGGGTGGACAGCCGGTCCTAATACACTTAGGGCCGAGTTACGATGCATTTTTTAAAAAACAATTTTATACCGTAAAAATAAGGTTTATTTTTATTTGATAAAAATAATTGTCAGGAAAACACTTTTGTATATATATTTTGCGAGATTTCCTGTCATGCGACGTATCCTAGAACAAGGCATAGCTGAACTAGAAATCACTTAATATTAAGAATAGCTTAGGCAGAGTTTTGGTTTCAACAAACTTAACGTTAGGTAATGCCTTACTAAGCATTTGCTTAGGGAGGTACTATGATTTTGCATACTTTAGTTCGTCTTCTTTTATTTTAATCTATGTATAATAGGATATTTGTGTTTACACAATTTCGTCAATGTCACTGTAGTCCTTTACCTTTACCCGTAAAGAGACAATAGCAATAATATATATTTTGAGGTAATAAACCTGGAAACTTAATACGTGGTCTTGTATCTACACGAGCACTCAAGTCGTCAATGTCCATATGCAAAAAGTCCGAATATTGTTTATATCTTAATTCTGTTAAATAAACTCCTTGGTTCTAATTTATTAAACTGATTTATCCCTTGACACATCCATTATGGCCAAAGAGTAAATATATATCTCTTGTTGCGTGAATGCCCAGCGCTGGGCGCCGCACAATGCATATCCTAACTTTAAGCGTTGCTTAAGTCGTTAGGTCATTGGTGAAACGCATTATCACCTTAGCCAATGCCAAAATATTTAGGCGTCAGATTTGAACGACTCCTAAGTTTATTGAAAACGGTCATTATTTACGTGATTTTTTACGTTGAATTTAGGATTATTAATTTTTATTTATCGTGATTGTTATTCAAATACTTGGCAACATGGTAATTCAGTCCGTGCCATGGTCATTTTACTGTTCAAAAGCGGTGGTGCGGTGTCGAAGCCCGGCCCTCTGGCGCGATGATCATCTCGATAGTGATCTGTGGGCTAATTTTCTAACATTACAAGCTATCGCAATCCCTCTTAAAGATATGGCGATTGTGGTAGTGATTTATGGAACTATTTAAATTTTAAAGTCTCTTTTGGAACCAATGATGATTTTAATGACCAAGAAAAGAAACATAGTTTAAGCTATCGAACGATAACAATTAGCATTCAAATTTTTGGTTTGACGTTTCTCAAAAACTTTAAAGCATTGTTACACCTTGCTTAGACAATTCTAATTAACTTGAAATTAACGATATCGTTCATTCAATATATTTCAAGAAACTTCACTATTGCAATAATTATCGCGTGTCAATTAGTTGTAGTTTGAAGTTCGTGAATATCTTTCAAATGTGTAATTGAGAGGGATTGCGATACATTTTAAAATTAGACAATTAGGCCCCTGATTCATTGTTCCTAGTTCCTGATAGGGCGATGAACTATCTCTCTTGACCAGAGCCACACAATTAAAATTCACGTTTACCTTTTGTTAAGTTCACCTGTATCATAATCATTAATTTGTATATCTTTTACATTACTATACATCATTTTTTTTCTATTTATTTGGGTAAACAAACAGTTACAAATTAATTACAATATATTAATTAGTAGTAGTATACTATATTACTAACTTTGACACCAGCACCGTTTACCACATATTTATCAATTACATACAATTAAGAGTGAAAGTAAAGTATATAATGAAGGTGTTATGGGTGTCATACAAAATCATAGAAAGAGAAGGGACAATACAAGAACTTGACGCAGATCGCAAGATTAAGTTACATGTAAATATAGTTTTGTTACACTAAGCGTTATTTAAGTAAATATACGATATTGTGTACTGTACATCAATCTAGCAATTGGCCTTACAATTTAAAAAATAGAGAGAAAACAATAATTGAAACTTACAGTTATAATAATTTCTTTAAACTAAATTTACTTATAGTGACTGATAAGCCTCGTACGCTTGCCCTGAAAGTACCACATAAGTATATAATGCATATTAAGCAATTCACTTAAGATTTACAAACAACAATTTTTTGAAAATATTTATGTTCGTCACCGCCATGTCGACTGTATTGAACCACTCATTATCATTTTTGTTAATTCGTTAACGCGCTTGCTGAAAATATCAAGATATTTTAATACTTTTATTTGTGGAAAATTTCTAGTATTTTTTTAAAGGTTGCCTTCTACTGGGGGCGCTTTTTTAAAGCGTGGGTAAAAATTAAGCGAAACGTCATTATTTATTAAAGAGTCGAAAGGGTCAGAGATATTTTCCATCAAGTCTTTTTTCAGATATATTTTCGTTACACGCTATGTCTATATTAAAATATATCT